AAAGAGAAACATCAGAAACATGAAGAAAGCAATGAAAAAATAAGCCAAGTCAAGCAAAGCAGTCTATACTTCTCGGCGGCCGGTTCAGAGTAAGTGGTGGGTTCCCCACACTTTGTGGGGTGACCGGCTGCTTGTCAGCCAACTGTTTCCTGGCAGATCCAGGCGTACTCCCACCAGTCGTCTTCCGAACCTTTGAGTCCGGTTGGTGGGAGGATGAGGGTTTGGAAGTGCCCGCCTGCGAAAAAGACGAGTGGTCAATACTTATTAAAAACAGCTTTTCAAGACAAGGGCTAAGGCTTGAAACTCACAATGGGCGTCTCCTTGGCTGGAGAGTCAGAAGAGGTCCACTTCTGTTGCATAATAGAGGCTCGCAGCATAGCAGCCGCCTTTTTGGATGTAGAGATTTGATCCATAGCTTCAGCTACAAAACAAGAACCACAAGAGTTAGAAATTTTTTTTTTGAAAACAAATCAAAAGAGGGGTGCATATATTCAAGTGGTCGGCTACCTCTGGAGGACCGACTGCTAAGACCAAAAGCGGCCAGGAAAAACTCGTCATAGAGCCATTGTAACTCTGGGACGCAGTTTAGGGGCACCTGCTCTCGTACCCCAGTAGTAGAGTTTTCCCTAATCTCTACTTTAAAAAGCCCTCGGTCCAGGATCTCTTCCCTGGCCTTGAGGGGAACAAGCGGCATGCTGCGACCGCCTGCTAGAAGAGGCGGATCCTTGTTCCACCTATTGTAGCGTTTGTTCAGCAGGCGCTCGGGGCTGGAAATGATGAGGAAGGTGTTTTTCTAATCCTTCCATTTATTTTCTTTGCCCTTGGTCATAAGATAGCCCTTATGACTCGTTATTTGGTACCAGCCGATACCGCTTGCCTTGGGGTCCGGTTGAGGTAGTTCATATGGGCGAACGCCTCAAAATTAGGCTCCGCCCCGTGCATTTCACATCCGGCTACATAGCCAAGGATGTTGAACCAGGAGTTTAGGGCTAATTGCCAAAGCCCCACCTCGTATCCATCAAGGATTTGCTGAACGGCCGGATGCAATGGGAATCGCAATCCAGCTTTGATGGCCGCCTCGTAACAGCCAAAATAGGCGTCCCCATAGCTAGATCCCTCTGGCCAGACGACTGTGTCCTCACCATCCGGCACGAATAGTTGGATTCCGGGACTTACGAAAAGTTTGAAGTACCGCAGGGCAGTCGGCACCCCTAGTCCTAGACTCATCCGTCCCCGGTGACCAGCTGATTGCTAACCTAGGCCGTGCCGGATGCTTTTGAGGTCTCATTTTCAAAAAGAAAGAAAGTGTAAAAGAAAAAAGAATAAAGGAACAGACGGTTACCTAAAACTTAAGTTCTGAAGATCTTGTTGAAGTAGGCACCTAGTAAAACATTCGTCCTGGTAGGTCAGAAGTTGCAAAGTGTCAGAGCTCAAGTTCAGGGGTCCGAGAGTTCTCTTGAAAAAGTTCGCAAATGTGAACAAAAGACTTGGTCAACATGCCTTTATATAAGGCAAAAGAGAATACGAAGAGTCACCTCCAAATTCAAAAAATGAGCGGGAAAAATGCTCGGCCCGTCAAAAGGCGACACCTGTAGCAGGTCGTCGCCTGTTACAGGCCGACACCTGTCACAGGTGACATGTGAACAGTCACGTGCCACCTATGAGGGGCAAATGATTAGGGGATTTTTCCCTACCAATCACCGTCTGACAAGTGGACCAATCAGGTTCTGCCATGTGTACGCCACGTAGGCCAATAGGAGCCTGCCATGTGTCAGGCGTTAATCTGTCCACCAAGGACCAGTTGTGTCACGACACGTGTCCTCCCCCATGCCAAATGGGAAAGTCGGCAACCTAGGCCCACAGTCTTGTGGGAGTCCAATCAGCCCTAGGTTGACCTAAACCTAGGACTGGCACGCATCCCAAGACATATAATTATTCCAATTAATCCTCATTAAAGAGGATTACGTCAATTAATTACTCTCACCTAGAGAAAACACTTTACCTTTTTCCGCATTTATTACTCCTAAAGCAAGTACTAACTTGATCGTCGGAGACAGAGCTCCCACCAACCGGAGTCTCCGTTGTTTTGTAGGTACAGGCGCACGGTTCCAGTCTTGGAATTGTAACTCTCCCGCAGGACATCAGAAAACCCCGAAACAGATAGTTTAGTTAGACAAAGTATAAATACAACTTATCGTTAAATTATTATATTTTATTTTTCATGAAATCTTGTTAGATCTCAAATGAGACAAACATTTGTAAATGGATGGGTACATAAAAACACTCGACATAATGGTATAAAACCATTTTAAACAACGATTCCAACTCCACCCTATATGTTTCCTAGGCTTTCTATAACCTTGACTAGCCTTTGGCTCAATATTAAGGTGACATGTTGCATGTGTGGTTTGTATTTTTATATATTACAGATAGATAGCAACATCAGGTGATCGAGCATAATTATATTCAAATTATCAAATATATAAAATACAATTAACATAAAATACAACTACTATATTCATTGTTCAACCATTATATCTAACCTTAAAAAAAAAAATCATTGTTCTATCTTTTACAATAAGGCATTAAGGCATAAGTTAAGACTTGAAACTTTTGGGAGGCTCATTACTAGTGAAATAGGAGGGAGCCCCCATTGATCTTATTGATAAACATTCTTTGTTTATTATAGGCGTCATTTGAAGCGCGCCTATTTAAGCATGTTGTGAATATGCTTGGCAATTATAGGAAGCGGTAGGGGTGTTTGCGCCTTTGCGGTGCGGTTTGGATCCTAAACCGCACCAAACCGCAAAATTGTGGTTTGTAATTTTTTCAAACCGCACCGCAAAATGCGATTTGGTGCGGTGAGGTTTGCGATTTAACCATACCTTTTTAAAATTATAATTATACTTTTTAAAACAAAACTTTTATTTTATTTTGTAATTATTAATTTATAATTTAAAGGATATTTTGGATTTTAACACCTTACAAAAGGCTGAAAATGTTTTTTAACACCCCCCAAAAAAAAACTTTTATTTTAACACCTCCCAAAAATATAAAAGTTGGAAGTTAACACCAGTTAACGATTTCCGTCACGGAAATTTAACGTGGGTCCCACAAATTGGCTTGAACTTCAATTTTCACCCAGCAAAACACGAAACTTCTTTCTTCATTGAATTCGCAGCAACCTTCTGCATTGAATTCTTTCTGAACCTTCATTGATTTCGCTTTTGAACCAAAGGAGATCTTGGCTGAGAAGTGGAGTGTAGGGTGGTGTCAACGTTGGAGAAGATAAGCTCAGGAGGGTTTCTTCATCATCTTCTTCAACTACAAAAGTGCGAAAGCCGCTTGAAATTCACAGAAAATAAGGTAAAATTGCTCTCCTTTGATAGCAATTTCGTCAATTACTGGTGCTTCATTGCTGTAAACCTTGCAATAATTGGGTAATTAGGGTAAATTTTGGGACCACAGTAGGAAAGCCTTGATAAATCAATTTCTGTAACTGACTATGCGACTTAGGTTAATTGGATTTCGTAATTGAAAGTAGAGATTAATTAAGGTGGTTTATTGTTAATTAAACTAGCAAGTGTGGTTTGTTGATTAATTTATGTTACTGAGCACCTACATTGGCTTGTATATGTTTATTTTCAATTTTTTTATGTGTTTGTTTGTGTGGCTGTGATGGATTTGTTTATTCGTATTGTGCATGTATAGTTACATGGCTTTTAATATGTTTTATATGTTTTTCACTGGTGGGTAGATAATGGGTGACAAGGATAGTTTGGTTGACATCTGCCTTAGAGTGGGAGGTGCTTTTGTCCCTAAAAGAGTAACCAAAAACAGGCAGCTGCTGTGTTGGTGTGGTGGTTGGTGTTACTGGAAGAGGAAGGTTCAAGTATCTAAGTTGGATGTGCATTTGATTAGAACAGCTGCAATTCATGGTTTTGTTAATGGTGATATGGATGTGCCTATGCATTACAGCTGTTGGTATAGGCAGAAGGGGAAAACCTTTAACACTGGGAAAAGGGAACTAGTTAACAGTGAAGAGGTTAAGGGCCTTTTGGAGACAGTAAATGAAGAGGGGTATGTTGAGGTTTTTGTAACAACAGAAGCTCCTAGTCAGCCCATACAAGAGGCCCAACCCAATCCTGCAAAGACAAAAAAAAAGGATAAGAAGGTAGAAAGTTCAAATACATCGACTATTAGGAGGAGCCCTAGGTTTAAGAAGACAGAAACTGAACAAAGGGAGGAGAGTCCACCTAGGAAAGCCTCAGCTAATGCTAAAGTGTTGAGGTTTGATGAAGAAAAGGATGATGGATGTGAAGGATCTGGTTATTCAAGTTCAGATTTGAGTGATGAGGGACAAGATTGGGAACCTGGTGAAGAAGAATTTGATGAAGGGGATGAGGAATGGTATATTGAAGGGTCAAAGGAGATCTTGGCCAAAGTGAACAAGAGCCTTAGGAAAGGTTTGGAGAGTGCAGTAGATGACAGCCACAGTCTTCCTCAGCTAAGCATTCCTCAGCTCAGCCATCCTCTAGTCAGCCATCCTCAGCTCAGCCTTCCTCAAGTCAGCCTGCCTCAAGCCAACCAAAAAGAAAGACAAGGTCTTCCTCAAGTCAGCCTACAACAGCCACAGGTGTTGTAACAAGGGCCAGGCTGCAATCCCTCAACAACCTTACTCAGTGATGTACTCATGCTGGATATCAAACATTATGTCTGTTGAACAATTTCAAACTTTTATTATGTACTCATGACTGGTTATGTAACTTGCTAGTTTTTTAGTGGCTTCCCTTAACAAATTTGAACAATTAGATATTGAATTGTAATGGTTGCATGGCTTTGATTGCCATTGAAACATGTTGAAGTAAGGTTCTTTTGTCAACCTGTACTTGAACTATCTTAGTGTTTCACATATTTCCCATGTTTTAATGTTTCACATGTTTAAATAGGTTGATTAAAAGACAAGGCATAAATAGGAACTTAGACAAGGCATAAATAGGTTGATTAAAAGACATATTTATAACACTTCAAGTCATTACAAGAAATTATAACTACTTAATACAGCTTACTATTACACACCCCTAGCCATTAGGAAAATTACACCCATTGACAAACCTATACAAATGGCCATGCCCACCCAACCAAAACAGCTGATTGAAGACACCTTCCCTTCATTGCACTCCCTGTTCATTCTCTTCCTGTCAGCGTTCAAGGCCTTGCATCTCATCTTCAAATTATCAACTTCATTAAGTAGGCACCTCCTTTGGCCACTGATTTCATCAACTTCCCTTTTCAATTCATTAACTTCACCCTTTAGCAGCTTCTTATCCAACAACAGGTTGTTGATAACCCCTGTTTGCCAATCTGTTCCATCAGGTTGATCAACCCATTCGAAAGCTTTGCAACCCCTTGTTTCTGTTATTGGGTCATAAAACTTACATGATATGAACTTCCTGCCTGGATTCTCCCTTGTCCAGCTAGTGAGCTTGGCCATTGGCACACCACACTTACATTTTCTGGCCTCAGGAGGGGAAGAGCTAACAAACGACATAATCTGCATCAATTTTAGATCGACAGTCACATTTACAGATTTGTACACTGACGAATTAACATTGACAGCAACAAAATTCATTTTTAATTTCATAATACGAAAAGCCCCAAATTCAATTTCTGACGAACCCTAATTTCGCAATTGGGCATTTAGATGCGTACATAACATAATCCAACCATTAATCTGAGTACGAAACAATTGCAAATAATAATTGAAGAGAATTTAAACCATAATTACCAAACAACCGAACAATTGACCGCACTCACCTGTTTCAGCAGCTTCAATCTGTTCCTCTTCTCAAAAATCGTGGAAGAATCGTGAAAGAATTGTTTCAAGTATCGTGCAACAATGCAATGTGCTGCTGCTATTCAATAAGAACAACGATTTCGTTCATTGGGGGAGAATCGTGCAAGAATGGTTCTTATATATCGTGCAAGAATCGTGGAAGAATGGTTCTTATATACAGATCTTTTAAAAATATATCCGTTGGGGTGGGCCCCACTAACAGTTCTGTTAACGGAAGATGGATTTTGGTGTTAACTTCCAACTTTTATATTTTTGGGAGGTGTTAAAATAAAAGTTTTTTTTTGGGGGTGTTAAAAAACATTTTCAGCCTTTTGTAAGGTGTTAAAATCCAAAATATCCTAATTTAAATATTAAATTCTTTTTTTTAACCTTTAATTAACTAATAGTCAAAGATTAGCTCATATATTTTAGTTCTTTTATATTTTTTTTTAATAAAAATATAGTATAAAAACCGCAAATCACATTAGAGTGCGGTTTGCAGTGCGGTTTAGTCTAAATATTTTTTGAAACCGCACCAAATCGCAAACCTCGGTTTGGTCATTTTAAAAAACCACACCTCAATTTTCAAACCGCAAATCACAAAATTGCGGTTTGGTGCGGTCTAAAGCGCACTCTATACAGCCCTAGGAAGTGGGAATTGACATTATACGATTAGGGACAAGGAAAGTAGGCAGCCGCCAACAAGTTTTTAAGAAACTTGTAAATCATTCACAGATCATTAAAAGGCAACCACGATGAAGGGACAACGATAGACAATAACGATTGACCAGTGAAGGTTACACCTTACACCTCATTCATAATCCATGAGATTACTAACTCCATATGATTCAGAACCATGAAAGGAGGATCGGGGATGATGGTACGAAGTGAGTCATGGAGTTACATTCGCCTGTATTGGCCTTTACTCATTTCTTATTGTGAAAAGTATTCCTGCAATCTCAAAGGCACATACACAAACAAAGATTCAATTTGCTTCAAATTAAATTAAGCTAAATTGGTTGAATATTAATGCAACACATAATTCTAAATATTTGTGACCACTTGATTAAATAACAAGATTAAAAGGAACCTAAACCAGTTTAACAGTTTTCCAAATTATCTTATTAGGCGTTATATTCAATTACATATTCCCTTTAAACATGCAATATGGTGATCAATAAATATAATAGAATAAACAATAATATTGGAAGCAATTCAACCACTTTATCGTTAGTTAAATCATCAATAATGAACCTAAAGATGATACTATTTTTTTTTTTTTTGACAACAGCAAATTTAAACTATTACAAACTACTAATAGTTCACCACAACACTTAGATGAGGTAAACTAGCTCTTACAAACCAACATAAACAAATACAAAAACTTAAAAACTTCCCGTTTGAAGGATCTCGGTTGCTTGAAACCAAAATCACTTGTCTTGGATCATACTTCTGAAGAGTCTTCGCAAGAACTAGTAGAGCAGTTAGTTAAGAGGACGGAGTAATTATTGTTGTTGAAGAGCAAAAAACATAGGACTAGGATTAACGACAAAAGGGTTGGTAAAAAGAAGGTGTCAAGGCCACATCGGGTGAAAAGAGTCGCAACTTGTGACTCAGTACCGTAAATAGGTACTCTTTGTCTCTCCTCAAGAAGAGAGACTTTTGATGACATGCTATGAACCCCCAAACTTTGCATCTGGGGAGCCGCCTTCAGTGCAACGATTTGAGAAACCATTACTAAGTTTAAATGAGAATTAACTGAATTAACCATAGTCAATTCTCCAAAATCTTCCAATAGTTGAAATCGAAAGAAAACACGAACAAAGACCAAATAACACCAACCAACTCCTTACCAAACACCACTGTTTCTAAACAAAAATAAGAGTTCACCACCATCAACCTAGAACCAAACAAGGCATTATAGTACCTTGTAACCCCTATGACAGAAACTAACACAAAACAATACTCCCACAACAACACTCCTTTACCATTTATAACCTCAACTACCAAAATAATTAAGCTCCACACATGGTTAGAGTCTAAACAACACCTAAAAACAACCTCATGGAGATCCAGCAAACCAAAGAACAGAAAGAGAAAACCAACTAAGAAAGAGGCCATCACTAACCAAGGCCACAAAGAACTAACACAGAGCAACCTGTGAAACACCTTAAAGAAGCTAAGAAAAGTAGAATGAAAATACCTCACCCTGAAACACAAATAGGACAACGACCGATCTTGTAGCCCAATGCAAGAACTCGCCCCACCTCGACCGAACTTCGGCACAGGAGAGAGAAAACTCTAACCCTAACTTCACCTATACCGTCGGGGTAATCTTTACCGATACCCTTTCAACGGCGGCGTTAAGGCTAGCCTTGACTTCTTGTTTTGTCAGTAACACTAACACAATCGTACTTCTCATTGTTTAAAAACTACCTGAAAATTGAAGCCCTTCCAAGGTCGGATCTGCTTTTTCTTTGCGCTGAGGATTAAACGACGACTCTCACAAAAAAAGGAAAAAAAAGTGAAAAGGGAGGAAACTCGTCAGAGAAACGGCTGCGGCGCCGGATCTCCAGCAAGCACCTAGGTTTATGGGAAGGGGTGTGTTTTAGAGGAAAGAGAAGAGAGCGTTTTCGAGGAGAGAGTAAATTGTATTGAACATTAAACATGATACTAGCAATATAAATAAAAATAAGTAATTAAATTAATTAATTACTCACATAACTTGCGCTCCCTTAAATTGCTACATCATGAATAAATTGTTAGTAACTTCAATAAAAAATATAAATTGAAAAGAATTAAATTAAATAATTAGAAAAATAGTTTCACCCTTGGGAATATACCTTCACACCTTAGTAAAATAGGTAGAACCTTCAAATCTTGTTTTGGACTTTGAATTACTTAAATAAGATTAGAAATAAAGCTAGGAAGACAATAGAAATTGTACGTCGAAACTTTACATCTAAGCCTTTTGGGGTTTATGGGATAAAAAACATAGGTGTCAGGATCTCCAATTCGCCTCCTTAACATCATAAATAAGGGAGGAATTTATAGAAGTAAAATCGAGTGAAGATAGATGTTTAAGAAAAGATAGAATTTAGAAAACGCGTTGCTCGAGTCAGCAGTTTTACGGTTTTTGTTTTTATCATAACTTTTGATCTAGAATTCAGAATAAGAAAACAATATATTGTTGGAAAGATTTGGTAGTCTACTTTCTAACCCAATTAGAATTGGATTGTTACATTTTGTAGAATAAAAGATATGACCAAAATAGTGGGATGGTATCAGGTTTTTTTATAGAGTTTAGTATTTTGATCAATTTTATTCGTTATAGCTCGGAATTGGGCTTATGATATATCATTGGAAAGATAATTTCAAGGGCTATCCAACCATCCAATATTTGGATAAAAATTATAAGGCAAGAAATTCAAATTTGATCGATTTTGGGCTGCAATTACGAAAAGAGGAAAATTGGGCTTACAAAATGGATAAAATGGCTTAGAAAAATATATTGGGCTAAAACAAAAGGACTATTCAAGTAATTCTTAGATCCATTACGCGAACCAGACCAAATTAGGAAATGAAGTTTGCTTTGTCATCGAGCTTTGGTCGGGGAGACATTTTTAGGTGTCTACATTTATCTAATGGCAAATTCGTAAATTAAAGGAATAGTGAAATGTACACATCAAATTTGTGTTGTTTACGTGTATAGCATTGCTGGACTAATGTGTTGAGGTGGACGTTCCACCGACATCTCCACTATTGAAGCTTTCTCACCATTGTTTCTCACCATTGAAGCTTTCTCCACCATTGTTTCTTCCTCCCTATGCCTTTCCCAATCTCCACCCACCTTTTACCGATGCTTCCACCAACAACCCCATCATCTTCGGCGGCTCACCGCTAGATTAAATGACAACACTATGAAAAGGGTGAAATTTAGGGCATGATCAACCCTAAGGGGTAGAGGTGACCATGTTCTTCATGTTGCGAGAAGATCGATGGTGGTGATGATGGGTTTTGGCGAGCAAACCGGATGATCGGGTGGTGGCGGTGAATCGGTGATGGGTTTTGGCGAGCAAACAAGATCAGCAACGGTGGTGATGAGTTTTAGCGAGCAACGTGAAGATCGATGCTTCACTAACAAGAAGATGGAGGAATGTGATGGTTTTTTATTGGATTTCTTGAGAAAAAGGGTAAGCTTGGAAAATAATGAGAAATAGTTGACTCATCATGTGAGTCTGTAATTTTATGAGTTTTCAATAGATTGTTGTTGCTTTTATTTACAATTCAACTACTAGATTATCAAAACTCTTTGATAAAAAAAATCAACTTGTATTTCCTGGTGAAATAATGAGCAATACAGTCATCTATTTAAAAATTATGAACAACATTATTTGAGTCGGATAAGGGTTAGATCTTAAATTCAAATCTAATCAGACTTTAAATATAACTCGATTACTCTTCCAAGTTGAAATTTTATATTCGAAAATCGTTTTGAATATTATATGGGACTTGAGTTGGATTTTTTTAATCTTTAATCGACTCATCCGGTGAGTTTCGAGTTTGATTTGAATTGAATTGTCATCTCTTATGGGACTTACCCGAGCAACGTCGGACCCCACCTAAAAAAAAAATTGTAAAGAAAATAAAACCCGTGGGACTGTTGTCTGACCAAAGCAAACCCAAAAATAGGTGTTCCCCCGGTAACCTGGTACCGGCGGCAGCATCGGAGGAGAGAGAATGGAGAAACCAACCGAAGAAGAAGTAGAAAAGGCAGAATTCGATCCATCAGAAATTGAATACATAAACTATGGTGGTGAACATCACCTTCCTCTAATCATGCACCTTGTTGATCAAGAACTCAGCGAACCTTACTCCATCTTCACTTATCGCTACTTCGTCTACCTTTGGCCTCAGCTCTGCTTTCTCGTTTGTCTCCTCTTTTCCTTTCTTTATTTTTCAATTGATTTTTATTTTTTTTTTCTTTAATTTTTGTGGGTGTTGTTTAGAATTTGATTATCATTTGTGGGTGTTGCTTAGAATTTGATTTTTTGTGGGTTTTGCTTAGAATTTGATTGTTTTTTGTGGGTGTTGCTCAAAATTTGATTATTTTTTGTGGGTTGTGAATTTTTAGGCGTTTCATAGAGGAAGGTGTGTGGGAACAGTGGTGTGTAAAATGGGGGAACATCGTCATACTTTTAGAGGCTACATTGCTATGCTTGTTGTCATCAAAGCTTACAGAGGCAAAGGCATTGGTACTTTTTTAGTTTTTGTTTAATTATGTGTTGAATTTTATTGCCTTATTTGATTTTGAATTTAGGAAGAGGTTCTTTGTCGATGATATTTGGCTCATGTAGCTGAACTCGTCTTATCGGGGTTGAGGCTTTGACATTGATATTGAACAAAGTTATTGTAATACCTTGAAACTTCAAATTGAGTCTGGATGGTTGAAAGTATATTGAATTTGGCAAGAGTTGACAATCATGCCTCTAATTTTTACTTAATATATACTCCATAATAGTTTAAAGTTAGAACTCTTAGGTTAGTATGACACTTTGAGGGTTCATTGGAAATTGGCTGAAATGAGCTAGGGAAAGTCTCTTTAAGTAGAAACTTTTGATTATTTGTAAACATTGCAATAGGGGTAAATGTCAAGTGGGAACTGCTGATTGTTGAGTTTTAAGTGATGCAACTCCATTTGTGTTGAATGTGTGGCGAATCTTAATGTCATGTGTTGGATCATGAACAAGGACGTAGCCTCTTTATGCAGAATAACAATCTTGGTTCTGGAATTTTCATTATGTTTGTATGTTTTAGACTGTTGCCAAACCACAGAGAATTCATTGGAAATTTTCTCCTGCTATTTCCCTCCACATCACGCCATTTGAGGGTATTGACATAGCAAATGATTAAGCTTAGGTAAATAACATATTGTTGAAAATGTGGATTAGTAATGCTGTTGTACAGATTTGTTTCTGAGGAACCTGTGTAGGAATTTTGGAGAATATGCCTTTGTAATTTCTGAGGAGCTTGTGTAGGGATGTCTTTAATAATTAGCCAAAGAGAAGTTAATGTCATATTGGTGAAATTCTATTATTGTATCTTTCAGATGGCTGGAGATGACATTTATCTGGAATTTCTGTAGGCACTACATTTACGGTGTAAAAGAGTTACATTGTGTTTTACAACCTTTGGATATGTTTGTCATTCATTTTAAAATAGTGATTGAGTGACATGTCAGGCTGGAATTTCTTGTGATGAATGTAATTATTTGTTGAAGAATACTGCATTTTTTAACAAACATAGGTTTTCATGAATGAGGGTAGCATGACAAGTGGCTATCTTGCTACCTTTCAACTTGACTGTGGGACTTAAATTTGTGCTACCTTTTTCAGGCTCCCTCCCTTAAATGAATTTTGAATATGTTAGATGTGGTCATTGTTGGAAAACCAATACATATTTTTATTGTATACGCGTCAAGATCTTTTTTCTACTAATTGTAATTTTATCATTTGGTTTGACAGCCACTGACCTAGTTACAAGATCAATCAAGGTGATGATGGAATCTGGTTGTGATGAGGTAATACATCATTTCTCATTTGCAGCATAAACATTCTCTATTCTGGCTCATGAACGTGTAACCAAAAAATGCTAAATTGAACCAGCACTTAATTGTACTCTTTGTTTTACTTGGTGGGAAATTATAATACGTGTCAAGATCTTCTGGGCATATTTCTGGAATCTTGTATCAGCTCTTACAGCCCAAATTAAGGCTAGGAATAGGGTCAGGGATTAAGCCCTCTGCTCTGTTTCATCCACCTAAACTGCCTCTGCTCTGTTTCATCCACCTAAACTAACTCATGATTTATGAGTAATGCATTTGCCACTTATTTTTTGTATTGGTAGATCATCTTTGTGGTGGGCCAATATATACCTATGTCAACCAATGTTTCTCCCCTTGTTAGCTTTTGATGTCATGCTTCAAACCTCTAGTGGCTGTTCTACCTTGTTCTCTCTGATCTGGGGCTAGAATGTTCCTTCCTGCTTGTAAATATTTTTGACTTAAATGTTTATTAAATATCTGCCAAACATTGGCATTCAGAGAAAACACAGAACCCCTGCCAATTTTAGGCCAAGAAGAAAAAGGGGTTGTCTCAGGAAATATAGTTTGTTTATTCTCAGAGCTGCATCCTGGCTGCTTTTTCAAAATTCAGCTTCACGTTTGTTTCCTAAAATACCCTTTTTTTTCCCACCTTGATAGTTGAAGCTAGTCAGTGTTGATAGTTGATGCAGCATAAAAAAATTGGGACTGACCAGTCGTCTTCTTGGAACGAGCTTCAGATGACAAACCCTATATTGGGCTGTTGTGCCTGTTGCTGTTGTTTTTGCTGCGAGCTCTTCTTTTCAAGCCTTCCTCAACCATTGATGCATTCTGTTCTTAAGGTTTAAAGCTGAAATAGTTTGCTACATTGGTAATTCCTGGGTATTTAAATAAGCAATCAGGATTGGCATTGAAGGTGCATTTGATTATGACAAACATGAAGATCCACGTTTGAATAATTTTTACATTGTTAGACCCTTAGGCCTGGCAATGACTGATATAGAAAATTTGATATTAGCATTTATGTTTTAGAAGTCTCCCAAGTTCTTTATGCCGATGATTATTTGTTTAAAATTTTGAAGGTAACTTTGGAGGCTGAAGTTACAAATAAAGGAGCTCTTGCATTATATGGCGGTCTTGGGTTTATTAGAGCGAAAAGGCTTTTCAGATACTACTTGAATGGGGTTGATGCTTTCCGACTGAAATTGTTGTTTCCCCGTCCAGACTTACAACCGTCCTTGCAGACCTTGGCTTACAAAGATGAGCATGATTTTCAAATCCCAATTGAAGGTTGTAGCACTAATTGTTCTAAATTTTGATCAATAGTTGAAAAGGGTATCTACAATATTCTACATTTAGTAAAAAAAAAAAATATGTATCCTAATTGAATTAATTTCATCAGAAATTATTATTTTTCGCTCTTTGCGTGAAGGAAAGGCAACTGCATGGTTGATTCTTTCCAATCTTTTAACACTTGAATGTTTTTCTGTGAGAGAATAGCTCCGATGCAGCCCTGACAATTAGAAACAAGCAACATTACTTGGTTGAAATGATCCTCTTATTAGGAAGTTTATTTTTTGTGTTTGTAATCTGTCTTTTTTATTTTCGGATACATTTTGTACTCCACAGTTTTTTGGAAAGAAATGTCTGCTAAACTTAACTTCTTCCACAATATCATTGAATCAACGTGTCCATGCTTCCTTCGCTCTTTAATTGTATTCCTTTCATCAACAAACCGACAATTCGCAGCAATGCTGCAAAATTGATCACCACAGGGAATAGGAATTCATTTAATATTACAGGGTGTAAGGATCCCCAAGAAAAGTATGAAACTAGAGGGGGAAAGGGCAACTAATTGCTCTCGGGCAATTGCAAAAAAAAAAAAAAAAAAAAAGATTAGCAGCTTGCAGGCAATTACTAAAATTTCGGGTGGTCGGTAGATGGTAGTTAGATCAAAAAATAAGAAATAGATGGAAGAACCTGACTAGCACATTCAGGCTTTCTAACTATTTATAAGGAGCCAACCCTATCAATTTTAGACCAGCTACATTTACCATTGGTATATCAAAAACAAGCAGCAAAACTTGTCTAGCTTTGAGATTTCTGCCATATGGGCAGGTCAAATAAACTTATAAGCTTCTGATGTGAAAACCAAATTAAAACACCGATTACTATCTCCTGCACCAATCAACCGTTGGGATCCCCGTACATATGGCTGAAGCTCATCACTGATTGCAAAGCACTTGCACCAGTTAGCAGATCATAACAGAAGTTGTGTAATAGAGTATATATTTTTTTTTATGCAAGGCGGGATGTAACAGAGTATATAAAATATTCAAAATTCATGCAATGAGTAGATCAGTAGATATGCATATTACGCAGCAGTATAAAAGTCCACAATCGCTGAATATAGGGTTTTAAAATGAAAACCACATAGCATTAAAACTATATATCTGACTACAACATATCTCAACTCAATTCAACTAAATACTCAGTGTTTGAGCAACAAAAGGCAAGCAAGCAATTCTGTCAATTGTTTATTATCCACAACTTCTGTCAGCATAGAACCAGCAGCATACACTTTTATTCACGTTAGCAAATGTCAATTATACACAATCTCTGCAATCTCTATCAACATATACTAAGTCAGAATATCCTCAGAACCGGAATTTTACGCAAAGCCCACTGTTAGATCAGCACTTGTTCAGGCAAGGCTGGAACTTTAAATTGAGCTATAGTAATTTTGACTCACATAGCCATGAGGTACAGTAGCCCTATAGGCTTGGTGCATTTCAGATGCATGTGTAGGGACGTTAATGGCTTGTTGAACAGCTGGAACAACTGTTTGGTGGCAGTTGTAGAAGCCTTGATTTCCATACGCACAATTCGAAGTTTCAGAGTTTGCGCCATCGAATTGCAGATATGGATTACTAACAGCCACTCCACTTACTGATGATCGTAGCTGAGGCAAAGAAGGATCAACTAGAGTATGATAATTGCTGGAACTTAAGGAGGCTGGATGGTTACTGCTGTTGTGAAACATATGTGCATTATCAGCACACACACCACTGCTTCCTGATGCCCATGTACGAGGAATAGCTGAATCACCTTGATTTTGAGTATAATGGCTACTTATGTAATGGGGGTGCATATCATATGAATGGATGGGCCTATTGTTGACTCCTCGATCAGTGATCACAGATGATGCTTGATGAGAACCATTATACGCTAGATTTTGATATCCATAGCCTACTACTCCTCTGCCATTAGAATCATTGTATGACGTGTGCATGGGCGGCAGGGCTGACAACAGGTACATCGCTTGGGTTTAGGGTGAGACTGGAATTTCGGTCTTCTGCATTCAGGGATTCAGCAGCAATAGCAACCCATTGAGAAGCTTGTAAGGATGAGGGCAAAGTAGAAGAGGGTGCCACAGCAGGTGATACTGGAGATATGGTGCAGTGAGAAATTGGCTTTTGGCCATAACTATTGGCATAGGCAGCTTGTGGAACTCCTAGGACACTTCTTTCATGGTCCATGTTCGTATGTCTGTAAATAAAGCACAACCATGAGATAGCACATTAGCAATAGTAAAAATCGACCAAAGCATAAAAAACAAACAATAAATACTGCATTTCCAAAAGATACGTCACATTTTCATTTGGGTACAGTCCTAAAAGATAGCCCACTTTCCAAATCATTGCAAATAAACAAAGATGGCGGATACTAGAACTATTACAAATGCATCAGCATGAAAATCATCATGGGCATCTATTCTGTAATCAAAATTTATGACTTCGTTAAAAATCCCATTTGTTTAATGCTGAGTATTTAGGAAATATGAATAAAAAAAGACAGTATGATTTAGTTGGAAGAATTAAAAAAAAAAATTAGTGGAGAAATTAATAGGGGCAAGATTATGTATAGAAACGAAGTAACTCGGTCAGCTACAAGGAAGGAGTAAAGGCCGAGAATGGCACTCGACACGCAGACAAAGAAAGAATGGAAGGAGCTGATGGGAGTTTTACAAGGACAGAGGGAATAGCTAACATCAGTTTTTTCATAAAACACAGAAGATAACAGTTTCGAATACCAATTAATTGATATTGTACAAGTTAATATGTTAAAAGTACTGTAGTCTGTAGGCTTTCAAAACAACTTTAGGTCATTTTATAAAGAGATAATTGATGAGATTTCAGCTTTTTGGAAGCAATTAGATGATTTTACCATAAAATCTTTTTTTTTTTTTTTTTGTTTGAATGAAAATTAAGTGATTTATAGAGCTTATTTTGTGTTTGAAAATAAAGTGATTTAAAGAGCTTATTGGATCTTCAATAGGTTGATTTGTAAAAGCTACTCAATTCAGCTTTTATAAGAGTTGTTTGAACAATTCTTGCAATACCAATTTTGGTGTTTGGTAAATTAGATGGTTTAAAGAGTTAGTTAAAGCATCTAATGACCAGCTAGGTAAAACTATTAATACTCCGTACCAGTTACATTGACTAGCTAACAGCTAATTACCAAATAGGGCCTTTATTCAGTCAAATATATCTATTTGACTGAATAAAGGCCCTATTTCACGAGGAATTTGCTTTTAAGTTCAATAATGTGTTCTTCTACAGTGATACATCATACATCGGATCATTTCCTATCAATTTGCAGCTTAAATCTGCAAGTTCGTAACTAATTTGTTGCGAAATCTCAATACAACGATTGCATAATTGATCCAAGACCGAACTAATTTCTATTGAACCAAAGCATGGAAATAGCTACTTCAGGTAATGAAAATAAATCTATCTAACCTACTTCAGGTAATGAAAATAAAATGTAAAAATAAAAAATAGACATCTACTATTTGTGAGGTCTCCCGTAGATAAAAATATTGGTTATGAGAAAAGAAACCTGGTAACTTGCAGGCTTGGTCCCACGTACTTTTGATACACAGTTCTCACACCATCCAAGAATTCTAGAGATGGTCTCTTTGGTGATGATACAGTCATCGGACGTAATAGTGAAACCAATTTATTCACCTATAGTCCATCACATGACACAAGTGACAAGTCAAAACTATATCATTGTAGTGAACAAATGACATCTCAGCAAAAAACTTACTTGCTCATCATTGAGCTCTTGCTTGAATTTGAATTTGCTATAGTAGTTTTCTTTGATAACATCTTTGAAAGCCACCTCTGGCAAAGGCAAACATTCCCTAGCAATTGAGAACTTAACCTATCAAAATTCTAGAGGCATTAATGACAGCCATAAAGGATTTAAGAGTTTAAGACGTAAAATACACAAGTATGCAGCACATGATCACAAGAATCAGAAACTATAATTAAAAAATTTAGCCAAAGTGAACTTTATATCATTCAAGTAGCTCTCTGAACTAATAATAGCTTTGATTAGGTTGACAACTTTAACAAATATTTGCTCGGATTCGTACCATTAGAATTGATGACAATCATCTGCTACGGAACATCATGCATTGGCTATTTACTAGAGCTTGTTTACAGCTAGCACAATATATATAAAATTGTTTACAGCTAGCACAATATATATAAAACTATGGCTGTCAAAAGCCACCTATTGCTCTTCCTTTTGTTCATTACTTCTTTCAGACAATTGCAGAGAAGCAAATCCATGAACAACAAAAAATCTACCCTAATTGCTTGACTCTGATCACAGAACAGCAAAAAATCCACCCTAATTGCTTGGCTCTGATCACAGGCACCGGTTTTGCAGCAAGCCTTGTGATCCACCATCAAGTATAACCTTTAAAAACAACTTTAGATGAACCAATGCTAAAATGACCACCCAATCATACCCCTTTTGAGAGCTAAACCAGGCAATTGCATTTGATGTGGCACTTCACTAAATGGGGTATTGCAAACAAACTAAGGGAAAATCGTCTGCGTTGGTTCGGGCATGCAAGACAAAGACCCCAGGTGGCAGGTGCACCAGTACGAAGTGTGGAAGAGTGGGATCATGGAGAGCTTAAACGAGGTAGGGGGAGACCGAAAATGACTTGGTAGGAAGGAGTTAGGAAGGATATGAAGCAAATAGATTTGCATGACAATGAGGTATTTGATCGTAAGGGATGAAGGAGGAAAATTTTTGTGGATGACTAGACGGAATAAAACTTTTGGTTTATGCAGTCGACCCCACTTATGGGATTAAAGCTTTGATTGATTGACTGACTTCACTAAATGAGGTAATAGGCACAACCAGCCCTTAACCATTGGCACTAAATAGTGAATACACACATGGCAATCAGGACAAGGTGCACACATTCCCTCAGGGTCCTTTATCTAGCCAATTACGGAAATATACAATCACCACAGCAGTGCCTGTTCACAAATTACCAAAATATTCTCTTTCCAACCAAAAAGAATGGGATAAGTATAGATTTCTAAGTTGAAGTGCATACTTAAAGCCAGGTGCTGACTAGATCTACAGAAACTTTAAAACATTTCATTCATGAGTCAATATATAAATACTCGATAACAGAATAAAATGACACCCCCCCCCCCCCCATCTTCAAAAAAAAACAAAACCCAGTTAATTCAACACTATCTTACATATAGAAACCACAGGTTTGAAATTTTCAAATGCAATCAATCAAATTCCCTCTCTTCATCTGTAGTGATCCAAGATTTTACTCATTTGACTAATCCTACAAGAATAGGCAATTCATGTATGGAATTTTACTACTCGTATACATATACATATAGAACTCAAAGAGTCACAGTGCAAATAATGTTACGCCACCAGATGATCCAGATCAGAAATCTAACGCCAACTTTAAAATTCCTAAAAGGAATGCTTAACTAGGTTCATTTGTCGTAATCTTGTAAAGAATGTCTATCCTATTGTCTATATAATACCCACACCCACACTAACACGCATACGTGGTTTTGAACACAAATACAGCTAGGTTAGAGGCTGTAGGCTTGAAGAGAGAGAATATAAAAGAGGGTAAAGAGATTACGCACTAACAAAATTCATATAGGCAATAAAATCCCAGTATCATTAAAAAAAATAAAAAATAAAAATAAAATAAAATAAAAAATAAAAAAAATAAAATATAAAAAAAAATAAGCAACAAAGATGAAGGTATTCAATACCTGTGCAGGAAATTTTCCCCCAAAAGCGCATGGCTCTAATACCATCATTCCACTTGATGTGGCAGAATAAAGTCCATAAAGAAGCCTTACATCAACGTCAAACAAGAACAACTTAGTATTGGGTTTAATTTTCTCTACAAACTTCATCCTTGAAGCTGGAAGACCGAAAACCCTGTAGATGAAGCAATCTGGTTTTGTTGCAGCATTGCACATGAATATGTATCCAGCAATCTGATGTTCAACAACAGCTTTAGCATTCTGTTCCTTGTCAGATGTATTAGTATTGTCTGAAACAGAATGTTGAGAAGTTGCAGAAACATCTTCAAGATTATTCAGCTGCATTCTTTAGCTACCATCTTCTTTATCGAAAAACACTTAGTTCAGCTTTTACCCTCTGAAAATGATACAAGTAAAGCTGTAAAGGAAACATTAGGAAGTTTTGTACATCTAGAGGAATGAAGGCACTCAGATTTTACAAGATGATTAACTCATACACTTCACATAATGAACAAGGGTGTCAAGCAAACTATCCCTAACTCACATGGAAACACCAAACAATAGCAAATTTGTAAAGTAGATTTTAATATAATAAATTCACAAAACTATACAAAATTATTACATGACACACAACTATCACAGGAATGCTTGCAAGACTTGAAAAATCAATCGATTTGCAAATAATACGAAGTAGCAAGTTTGCCCATGATGTTAGGACTTTTCATAAGTCAAAATATTAAAGAGGAAACAATTAGTAAGAAATCAGATACTACTCCGTATTGTATAAAACTCAAACAATCCACACACAAACACAAACCTAGAACTAACAATTATCCGGCCAACGAACAATACCCTAAAACAAGTTCTAAGATTACCATTATTAATACTACTGTATCATGCTATGCTATATGATTTTGCCTAGCATAAAACTACATAATGTGTACAAAGAACTAATACCCATTTGAAAATGCCGAATATCTTAAATGGGAAACTCCAAGAATTGGAGCAAAATGGCAGTCCATGTAACATAATAACATTAACAGCATGTCCAAAATTGGAAATCACTCAAAAATTCAGATATTTTGGGTGTTTCTAATAAATGTCGAGCATAATTCCCCTAGAAATCTACAAACAGTAAATAGAAACAACAATCTAGGAAATTTGGGGGAAAACGATGAACTACAAACCCTAGAATTCAGTACAAGTTATGAATTGCGTAGTAAAAGTTATTAACGTTAAATGGGCAGAAAAAAAATAATTAAAAAAAGAAATTAAAGTTAGAAAACAAATGGAAATTGCATGAGAAAGTAAAGAACAAAAATGGGGAAATACCAGTGAGAATTATGGAGGTATGAAACAGAGACGTTGATTTCGAATTTTACAGAAAGAATGATGGAAGAGAGTGCACGCACAGTATTTGCGACATGCGATTCATTTAGGCAGCGTTTGGTTAGTGTATTTTTGGAATAGAAACGGATACGATTAAACCAATATCGTTACCGTGTGGTTGGTTTGAAGGCATATGATAACAATTACCATTATCTATGGGTAATGGTTACCCTCATTTGTTACCTTTCAAAAATTTGGGGTTACAAATACCCTTACCCTCCTCTTAACAACTACCCTTTCCATGGTTAAACCAAACAAATGAAAAGGTAATTGCTAAACCAAACAAATGAAAAGGTAATTGTTAAATGATTCCTTTCCCCCCCTCCTCTTATTTGTTTCCTTTCCACTCCTTTTTCATTTTCGGAACCAAACGCCTCTTAGGGTATGTTTTTCTTCACCTTATTTCGAATAATCGCAACACACCATGACTTTCTTAAGTTATGCATTGACATATGTCCCGATCGAAGTGTTGCGATTATTATGAAACGCAGGGAGTAAAAACTAGTTATGATACTATAAGTTCAAGAAAAGTTATTTTGTTATGGATTTCTTAAATTCGAATTACAACTAATTATATTAGTTTTAATTAGGTTAAATAAACTCTGATATGTACTAGTAAGTTCAGATAAGCGGAAAGTAGGTGATTAAAATACATCTTGAATGAGATACGGAGTACTAAACAGCTAAATAGATTTTGTATAATCGATTTTCGGCCTTTGTGAAAAATCCTGTGCTACTAATCTTGCCTTATACAATTTGACAACCACATTGTGCTCATTACGCTAACGGCCTTACACACAAAAACCTTATAAGTTGTAACCAATGGATGTAACACCTTTAATTCTATATATATACACCTACACTCTAGTGTAGGTAGTACTACCTATACTCCCATTATCCACTTTTCACACTGAAACACAGTACCCGCTACAGTAACTTCCTACCCAAAAATAAAATAAAAATAGAAGTGCTAATTTTTCTCTCCTTAAATCAGAACACTCTCTTCATTTTCTCTCTCATCAAAACCTTCAAAATTTGCAAAAACATTCACTAAAAAACTCAAATTCTCTACATAAATCAAGCAAAATATCTGGTATAAAAGATGAAATCATACATTTGCAAGGCATTTCTCTAATAGAATGACGTAAAATCAAATTGTAAGTTGATTTGTTCATTTTTCGAAAAAATGTATAAACCCTAAGTTTATCTATATTTTTTTTGCAATTAAATTTTTTTATCTGCATTTTGTTTATTATTATTTGGTGATTTGTGATGAGTTTGATGGTATTTATTATAAATTTAGGTGCTTTTATAATTCTAGATTTATGAAGATTATATGATTGTTTTTTTTTTTTAATAATATAGAAATTATGTGATTCATGTTAGTTGTCTGGAGGTAATTTGGATATTTTTTTAAAATTACTTTTCATATTCAAACCAAAAGAACCTTAATTGCAATTACATTATTATGTTCGAATATTGGATAGCTGGAATTGAAACACCAGTTAGTCAGTTACCAATTTTAAAATTACTTATTTGTGAATAAAACTGTTATTTAGTGAATTTCAACTAGTAAATTTAATCTATGGTAAATGTTCATTTTAGATGAAGTTCATGTTCATTTGTAGAATGATTAATATTAAAATTGTAATTACTAATTTTGAAGACATATTATCATTTGATTTATGGAATTGAAATATCAATCATCAAGTAATTCTATTTATTTCATTAATTAAAACAATTATTTAATGAATTTTGGTAAGTAAATTTAACCTATCATAAATGTATATTTCAGATTGAATTCATGCCATTGGTAGAAGGAATATCATTTAAATTGTAATTACTAAATGATAGACAAATTATCACTTTCATTTATGAAATTTAAACGTCACATATCAATTAATATTATTATTTTGTTAATTAAAAATGTTATTTAATTTGGTAAGTTTCAGCTAGTAGTACAATTTTTTATACATGTTCTTTTTAGTTTAACTTCGTGTTCATTATTTGTAGAAGGATACATATTCTAATTCCTATAATTTAAGACAAAATAAAATTGTGATTTATTCTTTTGGATTTTCGTTTTGAAAAGATTATGTTCATGTGTAATAAATATAATAATTAAAGTTAATAAATAACTTGTAGAATATACTGGTACTAGTAATATCTAATTAACAAGAATTCTCTCTGAAAATGAGCGTGAACCATGAAAATCCTGTAAACCCTAAGCCTATGGAGGTGCAAGACCAGAGATTACTAGATCAAATAAAAAACCAAAAAGAAATATTACACATCTAATCTTTGGTAAGGATGACCAGCAAGAAGAACAATCCATGGAAACTGAGAGTAGCCCTAATAGACAGGGCAACCCAAATGACAAGGAAACGGGGGCGCGAATCCTAAATTTTGCAACCCAACCGAATGGTATAGGGCTAAGCCAGAGGCCTCCTGTGTCGTTTAGGGTCTGATGAGGGATACATAATTATCTCAGCCCGGCAACATGGAAACCATTGATTTGATGGATGAAGATGAGGACTCGGATGATGATGTAGCTCCTGAGGGAGTGGAAGATAATGAAAGATGTACTGTCATCCTCCTTACAAAAGAGGAGAAAAGAGCAATGAGGAAACCATGGAAGTCTACCTTGATCATTCGCATGTTTGATGGTAGTCTAGGCTATATGAGACTGATGAAACGACTAAAGAAGAAATGGCAATTAAAGGGTGAACTGTCTCTTACAGATATAGGATGCAAATATTTTATAGCAAGGTTCAACAACCAGGATGATTATAATTACGTGCTTACTTAGGGACCGTGGCTAATTGATGATAAGTATTTGACCATCCGAAAATGGACACCAAACTTCATCCCAGAGGAAGCATCAATGAATGTACTCATAGCATGGGTACGAAAACCAAACCTATCTGTGGAATACTTTGATAAAGAATTCCTCAAGAAGATAGGAGCAAAGATTGGGAAAGTGATTCGAGTAGACAAATCCATAGCTTATGCCGAAAGAGGTCAATTTACGAGACTTAGTGTTGAAATCGATTTAACTAAGCCTTTGCTTTCAAAATTTTGGCTTAAAGGCAAAATATGGCGCATTCAATACGAAGGAATAAAGATGATTTGCTATAAATGTGTAATATTAGGTCATGTGGAAGACCAATGTGTTACAAACGGCCCTACTGATGAAATGGTTGTGGATGGCTCAAATGCTTAACTCGATCAAGTCAGAGCTGAGGACCTAAAAAAGCAAAATGCTAAACTTGAAGAAGAACAAGACTATGGGTCATGGATGCTTGTTAAGAAGCCAGTCCGTAAGAGAAATCCAAGACCAGGAGGGGCTCCAAATACAGGGAAGGAGCAAGGTGCAAAGGTGTCCACGATACAGCAACCTAAAGCCTAAGCAAAAAAAAAAATGACAGAAAACGAAGGATTAGGGGTTAAATCGAGATTTGAAATCCCCCTTGGAAGATTTGGGTTCAAAAGATATGGAAGTAAATAATATTGTTTCTACTGATTCCCCCTTGGAAATAGGAACAATAAGATTAGGGAATAATTCCCAAAATTTATTCCAAAGTAAAGATAATGATGTATCTTTTAATCTTGGGAAAATAAGCCAAGGAAGAAAGGAAAGTCAGTAATCCAAGGCCAGATCAAAGTCGAATCTGGTTAGAACTCATAAACCTAATGTGTTAGCTCTAGTCGAAACACATATGGGAGGGCAGCAAGCTCAAAATATTGCAACGATTCTTAATTATGGTGGTTATACGAGAGTAGACGCCCAAGGCTTTAGTGGTGGTATATGGATTTATTGGCACCCAGAATTGGTCACTGTAGAACCAATCATTAAAAATGGTCAATTCATCGCTATGGACATTAAAAAAGTAGGATGTGAACCATGGTATTTTACGGTGGTTTATGCTAGCCCCGAACCAACAAAGAGACATGATTTATGGAGAGAATTAAAAGAATTTGCGGCAACTCATAATAAACCTTGGATGTTTGCCGGAGACTTTAATGACACTAGATTTGGATGGGAACAAAATACAAGCTGTGCCGATACCTCAAGAAGATCTGCTAGATTTAATGAGTGGGTTGAGGGTATGGGGTTGTTAGAAGTGGAATTTTCGGGTGCGGGTGCTTCTCATACGTGGGAAAGGGGTAATTCAGTTGATACTTGGAAAAGTGCTCGTTTAGATAGAGCATTATGTAACGGAGAATGGAGTCTCAGGTTCGCAAATGCAGCCATGAAGCACTTACCGGCAACACAATCAAATCAGTGCCCTTTGTTGATCAGTCCGAATGGCTTTAGTCCGATCTCATATGTAAACAAGCCTTTTAAGTTTCAAGCTTCTTGGTTAAAACATGAGAAATAGAGATTTTTGGAAGGAAAAAAGGACAAGAAGGCGCCAATTATTCCTCACCTTTCAAAAATTGCAGCATACTTACAAGAGTGGAACCAATCAACCTTCCACAATATTTTCAAGAAAAAAAAGAACCTTATTGGCTCGCATAGCAGGTGCCCAGAGAGCTCTTGCAATGCAGCGTACTAGAGACTTGATTAAGCTGGAATCGAAGCTAAGGAAGGAATTAGAGGAGGTTCTTGAGCAAGAAGAAATTTTATGGTATCAAAAATCACGTGTGGAACGGATATGAGATGGAGATCGAAACACGACTTTCTTCCACTTAATTACAATTGTGAGAAGATGGCGCAATAAGATTTCTGCAATTAAGAATTCGGTTGATGGGGAATGGATCCATGACAAATAAGAGGTACAAGACAATATTGTGAATTATTTCAAGAATTTATTCCAAGATGAGCAACCGATCGAAGAGAATGAGCCCCTGGTCGAAATTTTTCCAAGTTTCCCAACTAATATTTTCCCACAGTTTACTACACGTGACTGGGAGAAATTAATAAGGCCATTTGTCAGGTGTGAGATTGAATATGTAGTGAAAAATATGGGGTCCTTTAAAGCCCCGAGTTCGGATGGGTTTCAAGCTCTCTTTTTTCAAAAACATTGGGATCTTGTGGCGGATAATGTTTATGATCTTGTGCTTAAGGTACTTGATGGCAAAGGGTTACCGGAAAATTTAAATGACACCTTTCTTGTGCTCATTCCGAAAGTTGATAGCCCGGAGCTTGCTTCTCAATTCCGACCAATTAGCTTATGTAATGTAATTTACAAAATCATTATAAAAGCTATTGTTAACAGAATTAAACCAATGATGCCTCATCTAACCTCTTGTACACAAACGAGTTTTGTTCCTGAAAGACAAATAACAAATAATATTGTCATAGTTCAAGAGGTGATCCATACTATGAAGAACAAACAAGGTGTAACAGGATTTATGGCTGTAAAAATTGACTTCGAAAAAGCGTATGACCGCTTAAAGTGGAGCTTCATTCGGGATACGCTTCTTGAGATAAGGTTGCCAGGAAGACTCATTGAAATTATTATGGAGTGTATTACTTCATTAACTATGCGTGTGTTATGGAACGGGGAACTTACAATGGCCTTCAATCCGTCTCAAGGAATACAACAAGGGGATCCTTTATCTCCATATATATATTTGTTGTGTATGGAGAGGCTGAATCATGTCATTGAGCAATCCATTATTGGTAAAAAATGGAAGCCAATCTGCGCAAGTAGGAATGGTCCGAGATTGTCAAATTTATTTTTCGCCGACGACATCATTCTTTTTAGTGAGGCCACCATTCAACAAGCTGTCAACATGAAAGTATGCTTGGAAAAATTATGTATTGTCTCGGGTCAGAAAATTAGCTATCCCAAATCTCGTGTATATTTTTCCCAAAATATGAGTGGAGAAGATAAGCTAGAGGTTAGCAGTGCACTGGGTATTCAAGCAACGGATGACTTTGGAACCTACCTTGTTATGCCAACTCTGACGAGCAGAGTTACTAAAGAAACCTTTGGGTATCTATGTGAAAAAATAGACAGAAGACTAGCAGGGTGGAAGTCTAAACATTTGTCTCTAGCGGGAAGAATTACCTTAGCTATGTCTACTATCTCCACCATGGCCTCATATGCAATGCAAACGGCAAAAATTCCCCGCACTATTTGTGATAACATTAATAGAAGAACGAGGAGATTTATTTGGGGAGGTGATGAGGAAAAGCAAAGAGTCCATTTGTTGTCTTGGGAATGCCTTCAAAAACCGAGAGAACAAGGTGGATTGGGTTTAAGGTCTTCTCGACAAGCGAATGCAGCCTTCCTATCAAAATTGGGGTGGAGATTTCTCGCGAAGCCTAATGCCTTATGGTCTAGAGTACTACGAAGTAAATATTGTAAAGGGCGTTGTGACATAGACATGTTCGAGCCTAAAGCAAATATGTCGAACGTTTAATTTGGCGTGGAATTACGGAGAATGCCATGATTCTCTGTGAAGGAGCTAGAGTGGCCGTGAGTACTAGTACTACAACTCTTTTTTGGGACCATCGATGGGCCACCAACACCCCTCTACGAAGAACTTGCAATAGCAGACATCCCTGAGGAAATTGAAGGAGCAACAATAGCTGAATTGTGGGACAATGTGGGGTCTTGGAGGTGGGATTAGTTTGCTGACTTGCTGCCTCAAGACATTTTGAAAATAATTAATGCTTATGAACTGAAAATTGACTCGTCTGTACGGGATCTGCTCTATTGGGGGGGGGGATCTTCGAAAGGAAAATTTACAATTAATTCAGCTTTAGCAATTATGAGGCGTGATGATGCAGAGCAAGAAGATGGAAGTTGGGACTTAGTATAGAGAGTTAGAGTGCAGCAACGGGTTCGAGTTTTCTTATGGTTGGCACTCCATGACCGTGTAATGAGTAATGTAAATAGGCTTAAAAGAGGACTAAGAGATAACCCCTCTTGTAATCTATATAACCACGGAGAGGAAACAACATAGCATATTCTAAGGACCTGTATGGCTGCCCGTGATGTGTGGCGTCAGGTTGGAGGTCCAGCTTCTGCCCCTAATTTCAGAGAAGGAACCTTGCAACAATGGCTAGTCCGAAACATCAAGGTACAAAACTATAACACTCCATCTCCAGAAATTTAGCCGACTTATTTTGCAATTGTGCTTTGGTGGTTATGGAGGTAGAGGAATTGTGTTGTGTTCAATAAACCACATGAAATTCCTATAGATGTCCAAGCTTTTTTGTTGGGAAAATTTGAAGAAGTGTGGAGGGTACTTGGTGATGTAGACTCGCAAATTGCTGCCAGGGGTCAAAATGCGAGAAGAGAAGTCAATGTGAGGTGGATTTCCCCGCCATGGAAATGGATAACCTTGAATATGGATGGAGCTGCCAAAGGCTCTCCTGGTGCAACAGGTGGAGGGGGATTACTTAGAGATTGTGAAGGCAAGATGATTTATGGCTACTCCCTGAATTTTGATTCCTGCTCTTCGTACAGAGCTGAAGTTTTAGCTTTTGAGTATGGTATTAATTTGGCCAAAAGATTGAAAGTACAAAGGCTGCAAATTCAAGTGGACAACCAAGCTTTAGTAGCAGCTCTTCGTGATGAGAACCTGACTAGAGGGGAATGCTTTCACCATATTATGGAATGCAAGAAGCTGTTGGAAGATTCAAGTTGGAGAGTGGAGGTAATGCACGTTTATCTAGAAGGAAATAGGGTTGCGGATTGGCTTGCTAATCAAGGAGTTATTCAGAACAACAGAGTTGAGTTGGTTTAGTTCCCAACTTTAGCTTTAGGCCGTATTTTACATGATGATAAGGTTAGTGTGGCTCTTCCTAGGAGTGTCCCACCATAGTTTTTTTTTATTTTATTATTTGTTTATTTTTGTTTTTTCTCTGGGGCCTAGTCCCTCATGTGCACCAAAAATAAAAATACTAGTACTAGTAAAACATACTAGTTTTGTGTATCATTTTCATTCATGCACGCCCGACCCCTAACTCGAACTGACCCCCCTTTTAATTTTATTTTATAATGATTTATCTTCTCTCACATTATTTTTAAACTAGCGTTATATGCACACATTAATTTCAAAATATATAAGTATGCTAAATAATGAAACAAATGAAAAGGAGATGAACATATTTTTTTAATCATAGAAGATAAAACTGCACCTCCTAAGCATCCTTTAAATTAAGTTGGAATGGTTCGTTTGAATAAAAATTATTTATAAATATTTTCTTAATTATTTATGCTCAAGTAAAGTATTAATTATGTCCTTAATTTGATCTATAATAAATTATAACGGAAAATTCAATATTTTCTTGAATTCATATCCCTACCTTAAAGTTTTTGAGATAATTCATATGAATAGTATTTTGGACAATTATACCCTATAAAATGTTTATTTACTTATTATGTATTTTAACTCTTAAGAAAAGAGAGCGACATTTATACCCCTAAAAATTATTTGTTTACACATTTTCCGAAATAATTAAGGCTGAACTGAAATAGCTCAACATATGTGGATAATTAGGATGCACGCATTAGCCACCCTGATATGTCAAGCTTTTAAAAACCAATAAACCTATAATAAAAGAAAATATTGAAAGGACACTTGTCACTTTCTAGTTAAAAGATTTCCCACAAACTTTTTTTTCGGTTTTTTTTCTACCTTTATATAAGGTAAATTAATTTAATTGTACCATTAAATGACCCATAAAAAACTATTTATTATTTAAGTTTAAAAATTAATTTTAGCTTTCTATATTTATATGATATGTATAATATGATTAATATTTATCAATTTCAATAATAAAATAATAAGAATGATGATGGCAATGTTAATATCTTATATTTTTCTATTAATCTATTATTGTATGGTTTAAAGACATACTTCGTATTTTAATTTTTGTAATGGTCTACTCTACATATTCACGAATAGTGGTATGTCTTATAAAGACATTTTTTTTTCTTATGTAGATCTTATTCCGGTACAAATTAAAGATTTTATAAAAAAAATTGCATCTATTATTAAAATAAATAAATTAATGTTATTATTATTAAAAAATTATAATATTTATTATTAATATTCATGTCATATAGATACTAATTTAAAATTTACTTTTAAGTAAATATTTTACAGAATAATATGAACATCTTATCATACAATTTTATAAAAAGAATAGATCAGAGTTTATTGGTTGATTATTATTCATTAATGGGTAGAGTATTTATACAAAATGAAACAATCTTCCTTAAAAATATACAACCATAACCATAAAAACTAAAGATATATATACTAAAAATATCTTAACATAAATAATCCTAAATAAATTATTCTCCTAATAATATCAATATGGAAAATATATCAAACATACTGTATTTTTTTCCGATATTGATTATATCTCATATCTCTAACAATAATTGATACTTTAATATTATCAGTTTCATAT